GACTATAAGATTCAACCTTTTTTCTTTGCCTTATGTTGTAGAAAATAATAATAATAATAATAATAATTTTAATGTTAGTCAAACAAAAAATGAATATTAACCGGTCAACGACTAAATAATTATTGCGCATAGCAAAACCAAATTTATTCAATTTTCGTTAATTTAGAAGGCCTATTGCTGCTTGGGAAGTAGGGAGGAATTCTTGTTCCATCAACACGTGGCAGTGGCAGCCGATAATTGATCACCAAGCAAAAATTACAACGGAATGAAACCAAAAATTTTGTTCGAATCTAACTCCACTGCAGCAATCCAACTTATTTTTAATAAAATTGAAACCCTAAATGAAGAATAAACTTGAGTTCATAAAATCCCAAAAATTGCTACCGATTTCTTTAATTCATCTTTTTGAGAGACATACAAATTTAAGGTTTGCCAATTGAAAAGGAGAAAATATAAAAATAGATTTTTTCTTTTAAATAATAATAAGTTGTAAGATATGTAATAGGCTTATTTTCAAATTCATGGCCCATTTCCCAGCATTAGAGGTTGTTGGCTCTGGCAAAATCAGTTTATTGCTTTGTCAGGTTCCACCGGACTGGTCTTGTCCATATCTATTTAATGAACTTCCTTTTTATCTCAAAAAGAACAAAAAAAGAGAGAAAGAATTTTATTAAAAAAGAAATAGGGATGATACAGTAATACTTTATGAGATTATTTTACAATTCAACCTTACCCTTGGATAAATCTCCAAATTCAGTATAGCTCAATCTCCAACGTGCATGAAGGATATCCGTCATCTCACATGTTTGTATTAAAAAAAAATATTATTCCACCACCTACACACGAAGAGAAGAGTAAATTTCTTCCTTTTGTTTTATTTATTTCTGGAAGCCAATAGAAATATACTGCCAAGTTCCAAAAAAACAAAAATTGTACAGTTAAAAATAACTTATTTTAAAAAATTGAAAAATATTAGTTTAGATATCATCGTCTAATTTCTAGAAAAAAGAATATTTCATAATATAGATATTCGTCAATATTTATTCTGTAAAAGTGTATGTTTTGAAATTGAAGCTGTTTCAATTGTAATCCATTGATCGTAGGCACGATGATAGTGATAGCGGCTCCACATTTAAGACATCATATTTTCAATCTCTTTGCATTTTTTTAAATTAAAATTTTAGGATATGTATTTAAATTATGTATTTAATATTTTATGAGAAACTTCACTTTATAGTAAACATAAAATTGTTGTTGTTGTTTTTTTTTTCCATTTACATTGATGATGAGTTAGTTAATATGTCGTATTTTATGGATGCATGGGTTGATTAAAAAAAATAGAAAACTTTGAAATTTTAAGAAGCATTTTGTGAATTATGGATTATTCATGAGGCATAGAAATTAATTTGAAATTTAAAAATCATGGAAATAAAATTGAAATTAGCCTGAAACCAAATTAAAACGTAACCTACTTTAAAATTTAAGTTGAAAGGCAAGGATTATTATTATTAATTTTAATTCTCACGAGTTTCACGTGTGAAATCCAGGAGAGGGACGGGAGGGGAGCACCGTAGACGGTGTGTGGCGGTAGTGTAATTTGATAAAAGTGTAGGGATTAGGGATTAAAAGGAAATGGAGATAAGGCAGGCACGTGCGAGAGAGGTAGGACACGTGTGATAGGGTTAAAAAGAAAAAGGAAAACCTATTTGCAAGTTTCAAACCACTCGTTTACGCTACAAAAACGGCCCCCCAACGCTCAGGAATTGTTTTCCCCATTTTGATTTGTTTACCAGTTTCAGATTCTCCCATGGAAATTTTTCTCCCAATTCCCCAAATCCGCATTCTGTTTGCCTGCCGACGATTTTGACGCCAATCGATCGTTTTTCTGTCACCGTCGGCGGCGATTCCCCGTCGGAATCATGCCGATCAAGGATTTGACCTACTGGCTGTCGGAGCACCCATCGATCGTCGGATTCCGGTGGAGCCACAGCCATTCGTGGGGATCCACATGGTCCTTCCTCTTCTCCTCCATAGCTTTCTACCTCGTCTTCTCCACCGCCCTCCATCTCTTCCTCTGCCTCCTCCTCCGCCCCGGCCGCCCCGTCCCTCTGGGCCCCATCCCCGCCATTCATTGCCTCTCCATGGCCCTAATCTCCGCCCTCATCTCCGCCGGGATCCTCCTCTCCTCCGCCGCCGAGATCCGCGACACCCGCTGGTTCTGGCGGCGCTCCAAAACCCCATTCCAGTGGCTCCTCTGTTTCCCCTTAGGCACCCGCCCCTCCGGCCGCGTCTTCTTCTGGTCCTACATCTACTACCTCTCCCGATTCTTCCACATGTTCCGTTCAATTTTCACCATTCTTCGGCGGCGGAAGCTCTCCTTCTTCCACCTCTTCAACCATTCGATTTCCACATTCATGTCGTTCATGTGGCTTGAGTTTTCGCAGTCGTTTCAGGTTCTGGCGATTCTGTCCACTTCGATGGTGTACGCGGTGGTGTACGGGTACAGATTCTGGACGGCGATCGGATTGCGGAGGGCCTGCTTCCCCTTTGTGGTGAATTGCCAAATCGTTCTTATGGGTTGCAATTTGGCCTGCCATGTGGGCGTCCTGATGCTCCATTTTATGAAGGGTGGGTGCAACGGAATCGGGGCTTGGAGCTTCAACTCTGTCCTCAACGGTGCCGTTTTGCTGCTTTTCTTGAACTTCTATTTGAAAATTCATCGGGGCATGGGGAAGAAGATGGCCGATTCTTCGTGTCTGCAGGCCATCAAGCAAAAGCCCTGTTCTGGGAATCTGGAGAATCAATCCATGGAGGCTGAAAATTTGAAAAAGAACAAGAATCAGTAATTAGATCTGTTTAGGAAATGGAACTGAAATGCCCCTCGGTTTTTGGTGTATCATGTATATGTATTGCGGCAGAGGGTGAGAAAGTGAGGGAAAAAACAACTTTTTGGCCACTGTGTTGGTAGGGTACGTCGGTGGGTGGGCGTTTGGAAGCCGAGAAAATGGAAAAGAAAATTGTGAATTTTGGTTGTGTAGAGACTTGAGAGGTAAATATATGTACATGTAATGTGTAGAGGTTTATGGCTGTGTAGCGTTTAGGCTTTTTAGGATGAAGAATAAATGATTTCATCTTCAAATGTATCTAAAATGGCACCAAATGATATGCACTTCAAAAGGGCAAATTGATTCTGAGATCTCTGTCTTCCTACTTTCATTTCATCAGGTCCCATAAAACTTTCTGCTTTTTCAATCTCTCAATTCTAAAGTAGGGGGAGAATAACTTCATTTAATTTTAATTTCACCCAACACGCCTCGTACTAATAGAATTGTTCATTCTCTCGAAGGGACTTTATACACATTTCTACCAACTCGTGTATATGTATATATATATATTTTTTCTTTTTTTTTAGACAATTCTAACGACCCAAGGATGGGACAGAAATTATTAATAATGATGGGTCACAAAAAAGTGTTTTTTTTTCTCTCTATATTATTCATATCTTAAGAGTGGAAATAAAATTTCCACGTAATGGTCCCCTCGAAAATGGTTGGTGAGCTGCCTTAAAAAAAAGATTGGGGTAAAGGATTCCCCCAACATTTTTTTTTAAGGGATGGGACATGAAAAAGAAAATGAGTAGAGTAAATTATTTGAAGGTTATTCAATTTTAGTTTCTAAACTTTTAAATATCTTAATTTAATCTTTAAATTTTATATTTATTTGTCCTCAAACTTTTAAAATACTCATTTTAATCGTTTAAGGTTATTTTTTCTTTAACAAGTGGATATTGTGGCTTTGGTGGCATGTATTTGTTTTGACGTGTACATATATTTGAACTACACACGCTCAAATTGGTCATCGCAATGATGAAAATAATTATTTAAATAACTAAAATAAGATTTTTTTTTTTTTGAGAAAACTAAAATAGATTTAAACCATATTTTTTTACCGTGGCTGATTAATACCCACTTTGTCCGTTTTAGTAGCATCTTGCATTTTAGAAGAAAATTAGTGATTAGAAAAACAATTATCTGCATATTGTATTTGTAATTTAATCATAAAATAAGAGGTAATTTTAAATATATATATATATATATATATATGTAAAATTTGATGGAAATTGACAAATTAGCCGGACATAACATTTTAATTTGTTTTTCAACATGTTGTTCTCTGCCAGAGAAGTATTTTGAGAAATTTGTTTTCTCAAAAAACATCATAATCAAACCCTGTCATTTTTTCATCTTTTTGTTGGTACACCTATTAATATAATATTCAACGATCGCTTAATAATAATTTTTTAAGTACAGATAGGGAATTCAATACCCAACTTTTATAAAAGAAGTAAGATGTCTTAATGTTAAATTATATTGAGGTTTGCCTCGACTAATGGTAATTATTTATTAATATCATTATATTGTTGTTTAATTCAAGATTTTATATTTAAAAATATTATTACTATTTTTATTAAAGAATACTCTCTCGAGTAGTCTCACCAAAACAAATATTTCTTATAAAATAAAATCCCCAAAGGTATTAAAGCAACGAGACTACAATACAAAGAAATGTAGCTTTCCTATTATAGAAGAAAAAAAGGTTCTTGAAGGATATAATAAAATATTTCTTCTTTAGTAGAGTAAATAAATAAAACAGTGAAAAAAATATTTAAATAAAAATGTGTTTTATTTAAAATGGAAGAATTATATGTCATGGGTGACGATGAGGAATTGGCTTAACCCAATCTTTCGCTCTCATGATAAAATATAAAAACGTGATTTTATATTTTGTGGATGTGTCTAAAAACTATAAATTAGACACAAAGGAAAGATTAATTAAACACTATTTGGTAATGTTGTTTAGGATAATTTTCCCACAGGGAAATGGAGGGAGATTCGGATTCTCTAGAATCGAAGGGATGATTTGAGAGGACTTTTTTCGTCTTTTCGATTTCTACTTGACTCCTCATGTAATCTCTAGTGTCTACACTAGGGATGAGTTTCGTTGACGTATTTGATATTTTTTTAATCAAATTTTAAAATTAAATCCATAATTTAAAAAAATGTTCAATATGTTTAATAATATATTTGTAAATAAGTAACCTCAACATTTAGTTTAATTCAAAATATTATTAATTAATTTATTAAAATATATTTATAAGCTTTGTAGAATTAATTGTTTATAATATAATATGATATAATTATAATATATTATATTTTACTCATACTAATTTTAACAAAAATAAAATAGGTTTATAACATAATCTTTTTAAAGTTTCAAATTCAAAATAGGAAAAGAACATAAATTTATTTTTAAAATTTTTCATTATCTATATTATAGAATAAAAAAATAGTTTTTAAAAACACATATGCAAAGCATATATTAATGGAATATTTGATTTAGTGAAAATACAATCCTATATCCTACTCTTTTGATAAAAATTTATAACCGAGATGACAATGGGGTGGGGTGGGGTGGGGTGAGATGGGGCGGGGCGGGGCCGGGAGCCATCCCCATCCCCGTGCCACTCAAGAACTTTTCCACCATCCCTATCCTGTCCTCGAAATTTTAGAGAATGGACGARGTGGGGATTCCTCGATAAAAATTTTAATTTATATTATTTTTTATTTATCCTATGTGTGTTAAAAAGTAAAAGAAAAAAAATGGTTAAATGGCCATTGGGTTTAGACTTTAAAAAAAATTAAAAATTATTTATTAAAACTAATATATATTAATATTATTGTATATAAAATATAAAAATTTATAAAATATTAAACAAGGCAGGGTTAGGGACCGGGACGAGGCGAGGAGACCTTTCCCGTCTCCATCGGGATCCCGATTAGAATTCCCGATTTGACCCCGTCCCTTAGCAAAATGGGATTTCTCTCAGAAAAATGAGATTTTTCCCCTCATGATGGAACCTCAAATCTAACCAAAATTAGATTAATTTGGCATCTTTTCTTACTTATTCTTGTTCTCTTGATTTGAAGTGAGTTTCTTGTAAATTTAGTGAGGAGTCGAGTAATTTTAGTTTATCTTGCTATTTTCTTCTTTCTTTTACTCATTTAGTCTTTATTGTAATTTAATTAATTGTAGATTTGATTTTTCGGTTGTGGTAAAATCTAACTATTAAATTATTAATTAAAGGGAAAAAAGAAGGCATGTTGAGGTGTTGTGCTACAGCATTACTATTTAGCCATTTGGTACGCAAACTGGAGCTCACTTCGGTGAGCTGTTGGGTGACGCAGATTCTGTTTACAAAATGTTCATTATTATTATTGTTACTTTTTATTTTATGACCTTAAAAATGCCATTATACGAAAAACAAAAAGGCCAAAAAAAAAAAAACTGAGACTTGTGTAGTAAATTGTGAATAATTTTAGTTTAATTTCAGTGCATTTGTTTCCAACTTCAACGTGAATTAAACTCATTTCATCACTCAAATTATTTTTATTTTATTTTTCAATTTTTATTATTTTTTACTCACACTAAATATGCTTTTTCTTTTACGATTCAATCTCAATTTTTCAATACTCACTCTTTTATTTTTCTATCCTCTGAATTTTCTTCACATCTCAATCTCAAATTCTCCAAGAAGTCGAAATTCTCATTCAATCTCTCTCATCTCCTTTAACTTAGTTAAGATAATGATGATCAGAAATGATTAATAAAACATAATTAAACTATTTATTGAACTTTAATTAACTGACTCAAACAAATTTCGACATTCTACAAGTATATTGGTCGTATCGCTAGATATAGGATGGTTAAAAGGGATAAATTATAGCCTAATTAAAACTAAAGTTTAAATCTTAATTACTAATTTGAACAACTTTTATCAATTTTCACAAATTCAATGATTTTCCTCAAAATTTTTATCCTACATGACATTTTGAACTTTGTTTCCTTCTCGAGAGTACTTAAGATTGAATATTAACTTGTTTGAACTCTGAAAAATGTTAAAATTTGTGGAAATACAAGTAGGTTCATGTCTTATGCTTTTTCTTGTAAAAATAGGAAACTGAACTAATTGCATGTTTTAAAGCTAGGCATTCATAGACATATGTTAAGCTTGGATTAAAAACTGGAGTTCCATAATTATAAATAATTTTTGGCCATTTATTTTGAAATTTTCAGTTACTGCACATTGTTGTAGCATTGCACATCAACCCGGACCTAAAAATAGTAATGTAATTTCGTAGCCAACATATTCATTGGCATATACTCCTTCTCTCGAGGTTGGAAGTTCGATCCCTCATATAGTTGTGATGAAAAAAAATGTAATTTTGTAGATTCTATAGCAACTTAATCAATCGACTTTTGTCTTCAACTGTGGTCAAATTCTAGTTTCATTTTCTTAGAATGCAAATTTGCATCAGAATTAGTTAATAGTTGAGTCTCAATTTTACAAAATTTGCACTAATTAGTCCTGGAAGGCAAATCAACCTTGATTCACCAATTACCATCTACAATTAATAATTTTTGCACATCACTAACTCACAGCTTTAACTTATAGAAGCAAACTGTTTGACCTAATCCATAGTCCCATGCACCAATCACAAAGGCTTACAGGAGTCAAAAATGAAAAAACTAGAGTCAAACATTTCAAAACTAGCTCTTTTTAATTTCCACATGGGTTAGGCCAATTAATGTATGGTTCTTTCTCAAGGCCCAATGTATAATCTTCAAGCCCATACCTTAACTAGGCTCGAATCACCTTAATCACATAATTAGGCCGAATGTTATTTTCTTATCTTAATTAGACAAACAAACAAACAGTTCAAACCTCTCCA